ATTTCAGAAGTGGATGGCCAATCCTTCTTCCTAGTCTGTCTCAATGTGAATGGTCAGATTTAGAGAAGTATTAGACAGACCAGCAAGTTAAAGGTATATCCCTTAATCTGTCTCCTATTAGTTCTGAGACTACATTACATCTTAGTGTAGATGTTCCCTAAATATAGTATGATCCTAAATTAACAGAAAGTGAATTATACAACTTCAGTCTTCCTTAAAAAAATTAATTGGTTGATTAAATTAATTTCAGAAATGTTTTTAGGCCATATTCCATGTGCCAGATACTGTGTTATATACTGTAGCAAAAACAGATTACATAATATCTACATAATTCATTCCTGTTAATTGCACTGTTACCTACAATAAGCTAAGGAGAACAAATGTTCTAAAAACCTTAACATTCTGAGAATACACATTAGATGAGTGTCATTTAATAGATGAGGAAACGTGGGCATTCCCAAGTTACTCAGAGGGAAAGTGGCTTAGCTGTAAAACTAACCTCTTATCATTATTTTTTTTCTTCTTCATTTCAGCAAATTTTTTCTATACCAAAAACATTGGAATACATGGCTTAAGATATAGATACTTCTCTTTTCTAAAATTATTTGTGTGTGTTAAATTCTTAAAGCAGTATCATGTTGAGTAACGTTTACTTACTCTTTTCATTAATCATATTATGGAAAAAGAAGAAAATTACATAAAATTTTGGATTGTCTAAAAACAGCTGGGACATATGGCCACCATATTTACCTCGTCACCGTGTTGTGAATATTTAAGCTTTCTTATTCTGCCCCAGATTTTCAGTCATTTCACACCCTATGTTCTCCCTCTTCCACTTGGGTTTGTTGTTGTTGTTTTGTCTCCATGTTTCTTGTCTTTTTCACCATCCAACTTTCTGTTTACTTTTATAATTTTATTGGTAATTTGCCTATGCTGACATGCTTGGAATTGTACAGTTTACTTAGCAAAATGATCAACTTCTGTCTCCTTTGCTCACTGTTTAGAACATAGCAGGAGCCAAGGCTGTGTTCTTTCCTAGTTTATCTCCAGCTCTAGCATGATCTCTTCCTGCTTAGTCTATTCAGAGAAGAATGCTTACCAGTGCATCCATTGTACTTCCATGCATCCCAGATGGTTGTGAATGAAAAGTTACAGTTGTTGGAAAGGAGTTTGTTTCTCCTCCCCCATTTCTGTTGCCCACTCCAGAGAGCTTCTATTTGTATCTTCCTTGTTAGGCCAGATACTGTAAGTGGAAAGAGATACACCTAGTACCACTGAGTAGATATTTTTCTTTCTTTTTTTTTTTTTTTTTAGTAGATTTCTGTAGGACAGAGTAGAACCTAGGTTATTCAAAGTTGTAATCTTTATGGAAACAGACTAACACATTTTTTTTCTCCTGTGGGTGGGTTAAAACCTTTAACCACTCAGTGAGCAACTGAATACTGAACCAAGATGTCACCAGGGCTCCCAGGCAAGAGATATAACACAGGACCAAATTTGTTGCCATCAAGTTGATTCCAGCTCCTAGTGACCCTATAGGAGAGACTAGAACTGCCCCACAGGCTTTCCAGTGCTGTGAGTCTACAAAAGCAGTCTGCCACATCCTGTCCTGTGGAGTGACTGGTGGGTTTGAATTGCTGACCTTTGGGTTAGCTGCCACGTGTTTGCTTTGACCACTGGGCCATAAGCACTGGTAATCACACTGAGCAATGCTTTTTTATTCTTGTATTTTCTAACAAATACAAGCTTGGGGATTGAAACAGAAGGCATACATATAAGAGGAGGGAGAGGATTTGGAAGAAGGGATTGGCTGTTTGTGAAAGAATTCTGGTCCCTGGATTGAGGGGCATCCATTTGAAGGAGAATCTATTACTGAATGATAATGTGTTAGCAGGATTTAGGAAGACTGTCTTGATTTAAAGCAATTTTAAAAACAAGAAAAAATATAAAGATAATGTTTTAGGACAATTATTGCTAGGACTGAGTTCTGTTAATGTGAATGGTTGAAATGCCTAGTGCTGATAACAAAGTTAGCAGTGTCAACTTCTCAGCAACTCTGCAAGAAAGACAACCCTGGGAGGGGGTGTAGGGTGAAGGGAATGGGAAAGATCTGATGGGGAAAACAATGCATATAAACTTTATAAATAAACCATATTAAAAAAAGACAAGCCAGAAGGGAAGCCCTGCTTTGTCACCTGGTATCACTGTGAGCTGAAATAGACTCAGAAGCATTCATCAACTACGTTAGCAAGAGTATGGTTTTAGAATTGAGTTGCAATTGAAAGATATGACAGCCTGAATAGTTTTGCTCCTTTCTCCAGGTTTGCAACACAACTACCGACAGGAAGCACGCGGACGTCTTCTTGGAGAAGTGTGTCACTGAGTCAATAATGAACATCGTGAGCGGCTTTTTTAATTCGCCTTTCTCAGACAACAGTACCAGCCTTCAGGTACCATCAGCAAAGACACAAGCAAGGATTCCTTCACAAAGAAGTTACTTATCTTATTTTAGTAGGAAAATACTTAATGAACAACGAAGAAATACTTTAATCCGGTCATAAGGTCATTTCCTACAGTTCAGAAGCTCATTTTCTCCCTCATAATATTTACTATTATTTCATTTTCTGAGTTTCTAAAATGTTGTTTTTTTTAAAAGGAGATTCCATTACCAGTTATATTTTTCTTTCTCTCCTAAGTCAAACAGAATCGTCTAGCTCTGAGCTGACTGTTTGCTAGTTGTTTAGATGAGTTAACAGTTCTTTCTATAAATAAATATCTTGACCTCATAATTATACTTTAATTGAATAAGTAGAAATTGATCTATTAATATTTTAAATCTAATTTTTATAATATATAAAAATTCCATTTATTTTAATGTTTTTAATTGGGAGTATGTTGTTGTTATGTGCCGTTGAGTCACTTGTGACTCATAGCGACCCTAAGTACAACAGCCCTAAACCCTGCTCTGTCCTGTGCCAATCTAGTTGTCTCCAACACACTCATCCCGATTACCCCAGTCACTGAATCAGTCCACATCATAGAGGGTCTTCCCCTCTTACGCTGTCCCTCCACCCTCCCAAGCATGATGTCCCTCTCCAAGGGCCTCCTTACAACATGTCCAAAATATGTCAGACGAATCCCCAGAATCCTTGCCTCCAAGGAGCAGCCTGGTTTAACCCTGTCCAGGATGAATCTGTTTGTTTTCTTAGCTGTCCATGGTACCCTCAATACTCTTCTCCAGCACCACAGCTCAAATGCATGAATTCTCCTTCTATGCTCCCTAGTCATTGTCCAACTCTCTGATGCATAACAAGTGATTGCAAAGACCATAGCCTGTATCACACACCTTAGTCTCCAGAGTGACACCATTGCTCTTCAGTACCCTGGAGAGGTCCCTAACAGTAGACTTTCCCATCTCAACATGTTTTTTGATTTCCTGGCTGCTGGTGCCAAGAGTGTTGACCATGGAGCCAAGCAAACTAAAGTTGTTAACAATCTCAATCTCTTCACCATCCATCCTAGCTGAATAAATAATACTGAGATTCATTTTCATGGAGTCAAAGTCAACTCATAGCTGACCCTCCTGTGAGTTTTTGGGAGAGTGAAAATTGGGTAGGATAGATTACTGATCCTTCTCTTGAGGAGCTGCCGGTGGATTCGGAGGCTCAACCCTTGGTTCACATTACAAGCCTCTATAGACTAGGCCAGAACTCCCAAAATAAATAATAATGGGTCTATAAGATGGTTCTGTGGTCCAAAGGGTTTCTCTGAGCTTTAGATGGCTCAGTGGCACCTAACTACAACAATATAAGGTGATTAGTTATATGACATTTAAAACAAGAACAATGGATGATTGAGGAAAATTATTATGAGGCAATATTAAGCGAACAGGTGTTAGGTGACTAAGACACAGACTTGCATTGTCATACCATCTAAACTTACATTTATATAGAATATGTATCAGTCAGTCACTGCCATGGAGTTGGAGCTGATTCATAGCTGAACCTTCAGTGGGTTTTAGGAGATTATCAATTACATGGGAGGATACTGTGCATATTTCTCTCACAGAGCACCTGATGGTTTCAGACTGCCCTCCTTTGGGTTGGCAATAAAATTCCTTCCTCACTTGGCCACCAGGTTCCCTTATGTATGTGTGGTGGTGGTATATGCTGTCGAGTTGGAACCACTAGCAGACCCTCCAGTGGGTTTTCAAAGGCAGAAATGGCACAGGAGAAGATTGCCCATCCTTCTCCTCCTGAGCAGCTGGTAGATTTGAACTGAGTGCTTTCAGTATTGCAGCACAGATTCTTATTGCTAGGCCAGCAGAGCTCCCACTATGTACACATACTTGTGTGCACCAGAGCTTCCATTGTGTAGACGTGTACTATTGTGCACATATACACTGTTGTGTCTGCTCTGGTGGCCTAGTGGCCAGAAGCTGCATTGCAATCCAAAAGGAACCCTGCTCGAGGCCATCAGCTGCTCTGAGAGAGGGAGAAGGGGATTGGTGGTCTCCTCCTGGGGAATTAACTGCCTCTGAAAACCTGCTGGAAGGTCAGCCTTGGGTTGGTTCCAACTCTATGGTACACCACCACCAAAACAATAAAACGCAAGAAATAATTATTTTCACATATTCATACTAATTCCATACATATGGCAAGATTGTGGATGATTATAATTTCTCTGGTTTCCAAATTCTACAGTGATTGTCTATTACTTTTATAAGTATATAGCTTAACTGTTTTCTTTTGTGAAAACTTTCAAGCTACCACATCCAGCAATACAAAATTGTTTTGTGGTGATATAATATAAAAATAATGATTTCCTCTGCTGGCCTATCTTGTAAAATTAAAAAAAGAACCAACAGGAATATCTGCTTTATTTATATTTGGAAATAAATAGGCAATTGCAATTATATAATTATATCATATATACAATTATATAATGTTGTTGTATACTGTCAAATTGGAACTGACCCATAGCTGACTCTCTGGTGGGTTTCTAAAGGCAATTAATTGCATGAAGCAGATGGCTCATCCTTCTCCCATTGAGCAGATAGGGGCCTCTGACTGCACCTTTAGGGATTGCAGCACAGCTTCTTGCCACTGGGCCACTGGAGCTCCCTATATGATATAATTATACAATGTAATAATGTATAGAATATATGTATATAATATATATTATAAAAATAATTGTATATATAAAATGATATACATTATATATAATTATAATATTTATTAAAAACCTAATAGAAGAATATAATGTTTATATATTGCCCCTGATGTGTTGAATGAAGTATTTTACATAGCTGTGGACATTGTAAGAATTGACTGTACTTTATCTTGATGAACCTTTGTTATACTATAGAGCTCATTTATCAGGAGTGATAATGAATTATCAGCCCTACTAGTTTGAATTTCTGTCTCTTCTCAGACACATCAACCAGTGTTTATTCAGCTGTTGCAGTCTGCCTTCAGAATTTACAACTGCACTTGGCCAAACCCAGCCCAGAAAGCCTCAGTAGAATCCTGTATTAGAACTCTGGCAGAAGTGGGTAAGTTATGGATTTATTTACTTATTTTTGCTTTTTCTGGAAGAAATTGGAATTTTAGCTAATTAGCAATACAACATAGAAAAGTGATAATCAGCAAATAATTCTGATTCCTGCATTTCTTGGTGGGGGGAGAAATGTGATTGGAGTCTTTCTAAACAAATACGGTAGTATTATACATGACACTTTATATCATAGTGGAAATTAGTATAACTTTTGGCTTAGTTTCTTTTAGTTTTGTGTGTGTGTGTGTGTGTGTGTGTGTGTGTGTGTGATTTTTTCCCCCCTGTTAAATAGCAACCTGACAGATGTCTTCAAAGGACAGTAGGATGTTTTTGTGGATTTTTCAGTTCTTCTGTATCATTTTAAATCCATTAATATTTACTGAGAGCTTACCATACAGAGATAATTTCAGAATATCCTCATGAAATGGAAGGCAAAATGACTACAGATACTAGTTAATTTCTGGGAAGTGTTTCTAATGGATTTTTTGTTGTTGGAAGAGGTTACTGAGAGTATGTCAGAGATAAGATTAGCACAGGATAGAGCAGGGTTGGGGCTGTTGTACATAGGGTCGCTATAAGTTGCAGACAGCTTAATGGTACATAACAATAACAATAACAACAACAACAACATAATGATTTGAGAAGAATTCACAGAAATTTATACTTGTCTGGATTTAAAAGGAAGTCTGGTCATTTTCTTAACTAATCGTTGTTCTGGAGTCTTTGGAAGATCAATTTAACGTGTGTTTTACTATCATCATCATCATCGCTAACATTTATTGAGCACTTACCATGTACAATCCCAAACAATTTTTCACATATATCATGTATGTATTTATTTTGAGTAATTGCGTTTTACATATGTTGTTAGGTGCCACTGAGTTGAGTACAACTTAAGACGACCCTATGAACAACAGACCTGAACCCTGTCCTATCCTGTGCCATCTTCACAATTCACTTCCTGACACAGTAGAGCCCTATGAGGCAGTCAGGTCTTTCTCTCCTTTGCTGACCCTCCCTCCTTCCAACCATCATGTCCTTCTTCAAGGAAGAACCACTCTTAGGAACATGCCCGAAGTATGTGAGGCAAAGCCTCATCATTCTTGCCTCCAAGGAGCACCCTGCCTGCACCCTCCTCAAGACATATTTTCTTGTTCATTTGGTCGATCATGGGATGTTCAGTGCTCTTTTCCAAAAGCACAGCTCAAAGGCATCAATATGAGGAAACAGAAAATCATCTAGGCCAGGTAAATTGGCCAGGATTATAATAGGTATTCAGAAAATATTTGATAAATGAATTATTTAACGAATTCACGGTTAAGCATTTCAAAGTAGAATGTCACACTTGCCTCTAATTTGACCCAATTGATTTTGTATTAACAAAATTTACGGATTGCCCCCATTTGTGGATCACAACAAACTAGCTAACTCTGAGAAGAATGGGAATCCGAGAACACTTTATTGTGCTTATGCAAAACCAATACTTCAGCCAGGAGGCAGTTATTAGAACAAAGTGAGGAAATCATGCATGATTCAAAATCGGGAAGGGTGTATGCCAGGGATGTGTCCTATCACTATACTTTTTCAGTCTATACGAGGAAAAGATCAGCTGGAAGGGAGGCTGGGCTCTCTGAGGAGGAATGTGGCATCAAGAGTTGAAAGAAGATTCATCAACAGCCAGTGTTATGCAGATGACACAACCTTGCTTGCTGAAACTAAGGAGGACCTGAATCACTTGCTGCAGAAGGTCAAGGACTGCAACCTTCAATATTGATTGAAGCTCAACATCAAGAAAACAAAGATTCTCACTACTGGGCCACTTGGCAGCATCATGATAGACTCATAGTTATATTGAGATTATTAACAGCTTTAGTTTGCTTGGATCCACCAGGAAATCAAAAGAAAAATTGCAGTGTCCTTGCTTTCAGGGACATCTCCAGAGTACTGAAGAGCAATGATGTCAGTCTGGAAACTAAGGTGCACCTGATATGGGCCATAGTCTTTGCAGTTACTTGATATACATCAGAAAGCTGGACAGTAACTAGGGATGATAGGACTAGAATTGAAGCATTTGAGCTGTGTTGCTAGAGAAATGTATTGAATATACATACCATGGACTGCTAGGAAAACAAACAAATTTGTTCTGGAGAGGGTGAAATCAAGCTGCTCCTTGAAGGCAAGGATTCTGAAGCTTCATCTGACATACTTTGGACATGTTGTAAGGAAGGACCAGTCCTTAGAGAGTGATGTCATGCTTGGGAGGCTGGAGGGACAGGATAAGAGAGGAAAACCCTCGATAAAAATGGATTGATTGATTAACTGCGGTAATGAGGGTAGGTGTGTCAGAGACAATAAGCTTGGCTTATGATACAGCAGGGTTCAGAGCTGTAGTACATAGGGTTACTATTATTAGTTGTAGGCGACTAAATGACACACAACAACAACAACATTTAAATCAGTTCTAGCCCAAAAAGATAAATGGAAAAATTATCAGTCTAATCAAATTCACATAGGAGACTAGTTAGAAATATTCAACTCAATAGATTTTATCTAAAATACTCCTAATAGCAGCAAAAATGTCAATAGGAGTAAACCTAATAATGAGTATGAAATAATACAATCATATATTTTCTGTACTGAGGGATGTTGAAGATTTTAAAGAATTTGTAAAAATGGTGATGGTTCTCCTAAATAAACTCATGGCATTTGTAATGCCACATCAGAAAGGCTTCTTTGTATACACTCTTTTTCTCCTCATATTCTACTAGGTCATTGAAAGGTTATGTGGCACCATGTCCTGCAAGGATGTGGCCTCTGAGACCCTCCTGTAGGGAGACCCTCCTGATCTTGCTTGGCCTCCAGGCTCTGCTCAGCTCCTCACAGCCTGCCCAGGTGAAGGCTCCCTCTGTGAATGCACTCCCATGTGCACACATTCTGTTCACACTCCCCTGTTGACAAGGGGTGTTTGTGTGTGAGTTGATTCTGTTCTCTGCTCTATCTTTAGCACCCAGTGATAGACTTTTCTGGCATAAAAGTCCCTCAAATTCTGATTCTCTACAGAGTACAGTCCTCCAACAGAGTTGTCTTTTCCCTTAATGAGACTTCATCACTGTGACCACTCCTTGCCCAGTGTTGATTTTATAAATGGTACAGAGATTCACTAACGGTTTTCTAACCAAATGTTTCAGGAAAGATAGGGAAGAATTCCAGGAGTGGGGAGAGACTGTAACAAGCCCCTAAAAATATGTCTTTTTTTATTTCTTTCGTGTGTCACTTTTGTCCAAATCTACACTCATCTGATATGGACTACAACCATCTCCATACTTGACTCCACACAGCTACCCTTGTTGTACTGTAATCTTACAATCTTACTCAACAGTCAGAGTAATCCTAAAATGTAAACCCTCCATTGTATTTAAAATGAAATTTGGTTTCCTTCCATGGCTTGTAAAGTCTTTTGCTTTTTGAATTTCAGTGCCTGCTCCTGCCTTCTTCCACTCCCCTGCTCACCCCTATTCCATCCCAACTCTCTTTCATCCACACTGCCTTTCTTCTGTGTTTGTCCACTGTTACTGTTAGCGGCCATCAAGTCAGCTCTGGCTCCTGGGAGTCACGCATAACAGAATGAACTACTGCCGGGTCCTGCATCATCCTCATGATGGTCACTGTGGCTGACTCTTGCTGAGCTTTCACTGTGTTAACCCTTTATTCCAAACACTATTGATCCCTGTTGCTGAAGTGTTGAAAGTAAGAGTCAGTGACGTTCTGTAGGTGTCATTGGAATGTTATTGATTGCTAAGGTTCCCCCCCTGGTTTTCCTAGGCTGAAAGTTCCACTGCAATAAATGAACCTATTTGTACTGGAAATAGCTTCCAGCATCACAGCAGCACACAGCCTGTCATGGTTTGATAAACCACAGTATTATGTGTTTCTCATTTACATGTGTTCTTTTCTGTCAGACACTCACATGTACAAATTGACCTGAGCAAGCTTTCTCTTGCTAAATCTCAGCTTTAAAGTTCAGTGCTGAGTGATGTGTTCTAGAACATGGCATATGCATTGTCCCAGCTTTTTCCTGCCTCTTCCCATATACTGTACTATTTTCCCCCTCACAGAATGTCTATTACTTGAAAGCATTTTGTTCATTTATTTTGCAGCTTTAACCTCTAGAATGTTAACTCTAAATTAGGACTCATCATTGATTTCTGAAAGTACCTGATATTGATGAGGCAGGTTTCTTTACTGGCATGAATCTTGGCCTAGGTGTTTTTTAAATAGTAAAATTTAGGCTTAGAGAGGTTAAGGAACTTGCTAAATTAATAAACAGTTAAGCTTGAAAGCCAGATTTCTCTGCATATGTGTAATGTGTTGTCTCCAGGAAGCTCTTCTGGTGTGGTCCATAGTGAGTTGGACGCCTAACCCCAAGGTTACACTTCACTGACTGTTCCATCAGTGGCTCCACCACAGAAGATGAGCAGTCTACTCCCAGGTAGTCTCCTCCCAGGCAGCCTTGGAAACTTAATGACTAGAAGGCTGTCAGATGTTGCCTCAAAGCCCAATGAAGAAAACGAAGATAAAAGTTGTGTCAGTTTCAGAAAAATATGCTCCAAGCATGTGAGAAGACAATCTCATGAATTTGTTTCTAAGGAGCACACTGGCTGCACTTTTTATAACATAGATTTACTTGTTTGTTGTTTTGCTAGTTCATGGTGTACTCAACACTCTTTGCCAACACACCATTTCAAAGGCATCAACTCTGCTTTTGTACTCCTTAATCATTGTTCAAATCCCACATGCGTATGAAGCAACCTAAAATAATGCATTGTGGTTTAGCTGTACCTTTGTCTTCAAACTGAGATCCTTGCTCTTCAGGACTTTTAAAGAGGTCCTTCAAGGCCAACTTGTTCAAAGTAATTTGTAGTTTGACTTCTTGTCTGTTGCTTCCATGGGTGCTGATTGTGGATCGAATGAAATGAAATTATGGATGACTTCAGGCTT